CCCGGAGCCGGGGCTCGCAGCCGGGTCCTCACGCTTGCCAGGCAGGCGCTCGGGCCTCGGGTACCTCCCCAGCCCCGGGCCCTATTTCTAAACTCCTTCAGCTAGAGCGGGTGGGCGTCGTGCTGTAACCTCAGCTTCCCGCGCCAATCGTACACCCCGGAGGCTGGCGGGCAGAGGTAGCGGAGACCGCGCACCCCGAATTCTGAAGGCTCTGCCCACAACCTCAGCCCTTGGAGGACAAGGTCGCCGTCCCTCCCGCACACCAGGCTGCTGGGACGCGGGCCTGCTGGCCCTCAGCTGCGGGCCCAGCTGTCTGCGAGGCTGAGGCAGGAGGACTGCCAGGTTGAGCCCACGCTGGAGAACCAGCAGGACTCTCAGCCTTAGAAAGGGCTGGAGAGCTCCCTCCGCCCGAAGGCCCAGGGTTTAACTGCCCGCTCATCCCTCCCCGGGAGGGTTCTGGTGTCCCAGAAGACGCCAGACAGCACCCACGGTTGCCTGAAAACGGTAATTCAAAGCTGAGACCGCCCTGCCGTCGATGACAGCTTGCGTGGCCAGGCCTGTGCCCAAGGCCAGCCTGACGCCCACGAGCCGTGGGCTTGCGTGTGGCCGGGCTCCCATCTGCGGAGAAGCACAGAGGACCCCAGGTGTGTCCTGTGGCGCGCCCCAGCGTCATGCTCCGCACAGCTCCAGTATTTACTCCCCCGCATAGTCATGCCGTGGCCTGTGGCCACGCCACCCAGTCCACAGAAGGCTGTGTCCATACGGCTACTTTCAGGATCAAGTCCTGGACCATGCGCGCTGTGGTGCCCAGGAGGACGCAGCTCGTGAGCTCCTGGCCGTGGCAAAGGGCACCGTGCACCCCCAGAGACTGTCAGGTGTGGGCCTGGAAGGCCACGGAGCCCACGCCACGGAGACAGCTGTGGCATCGCTCGGCTGTGCATCTGAGGAAGCCGTGGCTTGCTCCGGCGACACGGGGGTCTGAGGTATGCTGAGGCCCAGCGGTCGGGGGGCGAGAGCCCGGGCGCACGCCGCTCCGTGGCCACAGCCGCGAGGCACCCGGCAGCCACGCCGGCCCAC